CCTAGGGAGGATTTTATTTGGGGTTTATCTTTTAACAATTTGACAGAGACACAACTTTAAAATTTGATTTAATTCGGTTTTATCGGGGGGGAATGTATTTATGTTTTGTTTTAAATATGTTGTGCGCCGCCCTGAGTCCCGCTGGGAGAAGGGCGGCATATAAATTAAATTTATTATTATTTATTATTATTATTATTATTATTAAAACGATGAGCCAGATAATTGTGATTCGCAAGGAAGTTACGTCTTCCCCACGCCAAAAGAGGCCGACGGGCTGCATCCGGTAGGAAATGTTGAAAGGAAACAGGAAGCGATTTGTTTCCAGTTGTGGGGCAGAATACGATTTATTTATTTATTTGTTTTGAGAAAGGGAGAATAACAGGAAATTCCAAGATTTAGCTCAGCACCGAAAATAAGCCCCTTGCATTGTCTAGGAAAGAGGCGAACCGTTTCAAGCTGGGATATGTAAGAAGGTTAGAAAGTGAATGTGATTGTTTGAAGCGGTCTGGGAGAAATTGCTGCAAATTGTGGTTGACAAGGCCTGTGGAGTTGACGTGGAGTTTGTAGGAGCTACAAGCCATAAATAAGCCATGTTTGCTCTCCGTTTATATAAATCCCACTCCTTGCTAACGCTGATTAGGTTACCTAGTTGGGTAATGAAACGTCTGCAAGGAAACCGCCAGGCTCAGAGAGCAGCGAGGACCCCCACAGTCCTCCTCCTCCTCTCCACAGCCCTCTCCCCCTTCTCACATGGATGGTGTTCCCTAGTTGGGTCATGAAATGTCTGCAAGCAAAGAGCCCTCCTTCTCCCCTTCCTCCTCCCTCTCCTCCTCCTCCTCGTCTCTGCAAGCCCACTCCCCTCTAGCACTGGTGATGTGACCTAGTTGGGTAATGAAATTTCTGCAAGAAAACAACCAAAATCAGAGCACCAAGGACCCCACAATTCTTCTCCTCCTCCTCCTCCTCCTCCTCCTCCTCCTCCTCTCTGCAAACTCAACTCCCTTCTAGCACTGATGATGTTCCCTACTTGGGTCATGAGACGTCTGCAAGAGAACCGACAAGCTCAGAGAACACCCAGGACCCCTCGTTTCAACCCTGAGCTCATCCCATCTTTTATTTTTTTTTCTTTTTGTCATTAGGGATGCACCCCCTCTTCTCGCCGCCTCCTTAATTCACGCCGCAGTCCTCGGGACTCTGCAAAGTGACCTCAGTGATTTTAAAAAACAGAAGACAGAACAGGGTGACACTGGCGATGGCGGAAGCTGTAAGTATTTGTCCTCCGGGTGGTTCTAAATGTAGCTCACGGTTTCTTACAAAAGGCCCCTTGTTTTGGCTCCAAGATGGCCTTTGTCTCTTTCTCCCTAATTAATTGAAAAACATCAAAAAGGGGTACATTGTGGTTTATACAGGTCGTCCTTGACTTATAGCAGCTCATTTAGTGACCGTTTGACATTACGACAGCACTGAAAAAAGTGGCTTATGACCATTTTTCACATGCATGACCGTGGCAGCATCCCCGTGGTCGCATGATATAATAATAATAATAATAGTAATAATAATAATAATAATAATAATAGTAATAATAATAATAGTAATAATAATAATAATAAAGTTGAAAGGGACCTTGGAGGTCATCTAGTCCAACCCCCTGCTCAGGCTGGAAACCGAACTTATATTTGAATGCTTGACAACTGACTCCCATTTATGACGCTTGCTGTGTTCTGGGGACCAGCAAAGTCAGTGGGGAAGGCAGATTCGCTTAACGACTACGGCAAGGAAGGTCGTAAAACGGGGCAAAAGTCACTTAGCCATGTAAATTTTCAGCTCTGCTGTGGCCGTAAGAAGAGGACCATCTTGTAAAGATAACCAGGTGGGGCCCTGAAGGTTTCCAAAGAACGTGTCTCAGTGAAATCCTTTTTAATTCAACCGCAGGGTTGGAAGCTGCCCCTTTGCAGTGCCGCTTCTTTAACAAACTCTTGGATATTTGCGGCGAGTGGCAGAAAGAGCTTCCGCCCTTGAAGCCAGCTAAGCGCTACCTTCAGATTTCGATCCACGCCACTCGCAACACTCGACGGAAGATGGAAGATAGGCACGTTTCCCTTCCGGAGTTTAACCAGCTCTTTGGCCTGGAGGTGAGTTTCTGGAAGCTAGAGAGGATACACGGATAGAAATGCCCCTCCATGATCCCGCAAATGTATTTTGGATTTGCAGCTTCTGACTTTTTGTGTCCTCCATGCTCTCTCTGAGCTGGGTTGTTTTCTTACAGACGTTTCATTGTCCAACTAGGTAACATCATCAGTACACTGAGGGTGGTTTGGTAATGAAACCTCTGCAGGAAAAGCTCAGAGAGCACCAAGGACCTCACAGTCCTTCCTTCCTTCTTCCTTCCCTCCCTTTTCCTCCTCTTCTTTCCACAAACTTCACTCCCTGCTAGCACTGATGATGTTAGCTAGTTGGGTCATGAAACATCTGCAAGAAAATAACCAAGCTCAGAGAGCATTAAGTACCCTACAGTCGTCGTCGTCGTCATCCTCCTCCTCCTCCTCCTCCTCCTCCTTGTCCTCCTCTTTCCACAAATTTCACTCCCTTCTAGCACTGATGATGTTACCTAGTTGGGTCATGAAACATCTGCAAGAAAATAACCAAGCTCAGAGAGCACCAAGGATTCCACAGTCGTCGTCGTCCTCCTCCTCCTCCTCCTCTTCCTCCTCCTCCTCGCAATCCCCACTCTCTTCTAGCACTGAATTACAGATCTTCTCTTCCATCCCCACTTCTCTCCTTCCTTATCCTTGCCCCAGTTAACCACCTCTGATGGGCTTTGCTGTTGGAAAACATCTGGGTGGGGCTGAGACACACCTTTCATTTCTCTCCAAAAGAAGCTACTTCTTTTAAGCTTTTGGACCAACCAGGCTGCTTTGTGTTTGTCTTCTCTCTTGACTCCTCCTGGCCACTGAAAGGACGGCGTCGATCGGGCCTACTTTGCTGTCTACGATGGGCACGGAGGGATCGAGGCCGCCAATTATGCCGCCACCCATTTGCACGTCAACCTGGCCCATCACAAGAAGCTCCTGGACAGCCCAGCAGAAGCCCTGAGAGATTCCTTCCAGAAGACGGACGAGATGTTCCTCTCAAGAGCCAGGAGGGAGGTGAGTGTGTGTGTGTGGGGGAAGGGACGAAGGGTTCGTTGCCGAAAGAGGACGTGTAAAAGTTAGGGGACGAGTTTGGAGAAAGGTTGTAAATCGTTTAGTGACTGTTCAAAGTTACAACAAAGCCAGCTGGGTGACTTTTGGGCAATCACCAGGAGACTGGGAGTTCTAGTCCCGCCTTAGATATGAAAACCAGCTGGGTGACATTGGGCCAATCACCAGGAGACTGGGAGTTCTAGTCCCGCCTTAGGTATGAAAAGCAGCTGGGTGACATTGGGCCAATCACCAGGAGACTGGGAGTTCTAGTCCCACTTTAGGCATGAAAAGCAGCTGGGTGACTTTTGGGCAATGACCAGGAGACTGGGAGTTCTAGTCCCGCTTTAGGTAGGAGAACCAGGTGGGTGACTTTTGGGCAAGCACCAGGAGACTGGGAGTTCTAGTCCCGCCTTAGGTATAAAAACCAGCTGGGTGACTTTTGGGCCAATCACCAGGAGACTGGGAGTTCTAGACCCGGGTTAGGTATGAGAACCAACTGGGTGACTTTGGGCCAGTCCCTCTCTCTCAGTCCAACCCACCTCACAGCGTTGTTGTGGGGAAAATAGGAGGAGGACAGTGTTGGATATGTTTACCGCTTTGAGATATTTGTAAAAATAATCGAGGCGGGGATACAAATAAACTGCCTTGCTTGACCACAAAAATTCTAGTCTGAAATTTTCGTAAGTTGAGGACTATTTAAGGACTATTTCTAATGGATTAGAAAACAGTTGGCTGTCGTTAGCCTCAATCTTGTGTCTGCCGTCGCAAGAAAAAGACCAGGCTTCAGGAACTGATGTAAATGTTTTCCTTTATTAATGGATTCGGAGTGTGCTTTGCGTGTTTTATACACCAGCCTAATGGCAGATGCGGTTTTGCCCATGCAGGAAATACGATTTTTTGTCACAGTTTCGCTATTAGCCATCACAGGTCTGTGATTATTCAGCTGGAACAGAACTCACCCGAGTAACAAAGACCTCTTTGTTTTCTTAAATTAAAAAAAAACAACCTTGGTTTTTGTACCAGTTCCCGCGTGGTTAGCACAGTTTTAAAACCGGAAGCTTAGGAGGGAAATTGTCGTACATAAAACGGGCCTTGTGCAGAGGCTGAAATGAAACCCCCAGGAAAAAAAACCACATGTTTTTCTCATAAATATGCGTGGCGTTGCAGTCTTCGTTATAAAAATTGAAGAAAAAGAGGTACCTGCAGGCAATTCTGAGTGACAGTTACTATTTAATCCAGGGGTCTTCCAACTTGGCCCTTTGATGACTTGTGGACTTCGACTCCCAGAATTCCTCAGCCAGCGTGCTTGTCAGAAAGTCGCAAAAGAGGAACCACAGGACACACTGCCACCCTTATAAATAGGAGGCCATTGCCAAATGTCTGAATTTCGATCCTCTAATGATGGGGAAGCTGTAACCGTCATTAAATGTGAAAAAAGCAAAAAACAAAAGCATGTGTCAAAGCAAAGAGTTATTGGAAAAAAACACGTGCCTGGCTAGAAAAGATGTTGGGAGAATATGTAGATTTTAAACCCGGCCTTTTTTTTTTATTAGGCATAATGCCAGAAAAAACTGATAAACAAAACATATATTTGATTCTACATGTTACAACAGCGGCAAGAATTATATTCGCGCAGTATTGCAAAAAGAAAGAAACACCATTAGATGAAGAAATAATTAAAAAAATACTAGAATGCGCGGAGATGGATGGACTGACTCTGAGGCTGAAAGAAAAAGAAGAAACGAAATAGTATCAAACTTGGGACTTATTTTATCAATGGCTAGAGGAAAGAATAAAGGATTACGAATTAAATATGTATTAGCGAATGTAAACTCAGACAGCACGTTGGTTGAACAAATACTATTGAATGTATGAAAAAAAAATCTTTTAAAAAAATAAATGTGAAAAAAGGTCATGTCCCTTTTTTCAGTACCGCCGTAACAACGCACAGTCACTAAATGAACTTTTATAAGTCAAGAACCAGCTGTATCCTTTAGCAGAATACTAATAGAAGACCTGTCTTTGCTGTGTGGTTAACCAACAAGTGTGACTTTTTCTCTTGTGTTGTATTTCAGCCTTTGGGGGGGAGGAAATAACTTTTCATGCTTTTTCAAAACATGTCTACAGAAGCTGCGGAGTGGCACGACGGGTGTGTCTTGTTTCCTTGTGGACGAGAAACTACATATAGCCTGGCTGGGGGACTCGCAAGTGATGCTGGTCCAACAAGGAAAAGTTATAACTCTGATGGAACCTCACAAACCAGAACGAGAGGTAACTTGCCCTGTAGTTGTTCACAATTTATGTTTATTTTGGCTCACCTTGGTATAAAAACAATGATTGACCTACTTTGGAAGATCCTCCATTGTCCCAAAAGCTGATTTCTTTCCCTAACGTTGATTTATTTTTTTAATTGAGGAATAACACTTGGAAGGACCTTGTGTGTGTTTCCTTGCCTTTACAGGACGAGCGACAACGCATAGAAGATTTAGGGGGTTGCATAACATACATGGACTGTTGGCGTGTTAATGGCACTCTGGCTGTTTCCAGAGCTATTGGTAAGCGTGTTTTCTAAAGCTAGTTGGACAATATGCATAGGTGATCCTCAACCAAAATTGAGCTCAAATCTATTCTATTCTATTCTATTCTATTCTATTCTATTCTATTCTATTCTATTCTATTCTATTTCCATTCCATATTCTATTCTATTCTATTCTATTCTATTCTATTCTTCCATTCCATCTCTATTCTATTCTATTCTATTCTATTCTATTCTATTCTATTCTATTTCCATTCCATATTCTATTCTATTTCTATTCTATTCTATTCTATTCTATTCTATTCTATTCTATTTCCATTTCATATTCTATTCTATTCTATTCTATTCTATTCTATTCTATTCTATTCTATTCTATATTCTATATTCTATATTCTATATTCTATATTCTATATTCTATTTCCATTCTATTCCCATTCTATTCCCATTCTATTCCTATTCTATTCTTTCTCTATTCTATTCTTTCTCTATTCTACTCTACTCTGCTCTAGTCTATTTCCATTCCATATTCTATTCATTCTATTCTATTCTATTCTATTCTATTCTATTCTATTCTATTCTATTCTATTCTATTCTATTCTATTCTATCCCATCCCATCCCATCCCATCCCATCCCATCCCATCTCCATTCCATTCACCAGGCTGCCTCTTTTTCATATTCACAGAAACAGTGGCATCTCACAAAACTTTGGCTGCCACTGAGATGCTCCCATTAAAAATTGTTCCGTGCGGTGCATTGCCATAGTAACTCAAACCTGACAGTGCCCATTAAAGAATAAAGTTCGTGCTGTTCGCTCCCAAAGCATCTGCAGTGATATTTTTAATATTTTCAATAGACGCCCAGAAGTGCGCGTTAATATTCAAGGCAACTGGTTCCTCCTGCTCGCTCAGATTATTAGGTGTGCAAATAGCTCTTGATATACGACTTAGCAACACAACTATTCAGTGAGTTTTGCCCCATTTTATGACCTTTCCTGCCACAGTCAACGAGTACCACTGCTGTTCTTCAATTAGCAACACAGTCGTTAAGCGAATACGGCTTCCCTCATTGACTTTGCTTCCCAGAAGGTCGCAAAAGGGGATCGCGTGACCCCAGAGCACAGCATCTGTCCTAAGTACGAGTCAGTTGCCAAGCGTCTGAATTTTGATCACGTGACCACGGGGATGCTACAGTGAAACACAGTCATACGTCACTTTTTTCAGTACTGTTGTCACTTCGAACGGTCACTAAACGAATGGAGAACTGTCTGTGTTTATCTCCAGTTTCTCGGTTTTTGTTTTTTTTTTACAGGGGATCTCTTGCAAAAGCCTTACGTCTCCGGCTGCGCGGATGGTGCATCCTTTGAGCTGACGGGGACGGAAGATTACGTCCTCCTTGCCTGCGATGGGTTCTTCGATGCCATCCAGCCGGTCGAGGTGGTGGACCACGTCTTGGAGCACTTAACGCGAAACCACGGAGATGGCCTTCAGACGGCGGAGAAGCTGGTGGCCGCGGCCAAAGAAAGCGGCTCCACCGACAACATCACCGTCCTGGTGCTGTTCCTCCGTGAGCCCAAGGACATCGTCGCCGACTGTCTCAGAGACCCCAAACCCTGCCCGGTGGAGGATGGCAAACAGGGCTCCCCGTTCAGCTTCTTCAGCTCCGGCACCAACCACTGAAAGGGCGTCAACTCCAAAAGCAACATCTGCAACGCGGCCGAAGTCCAGATCTTCTAGAGGGTCAGCAATTTTTTTAAGGTTAGCTCTTCCACGTTGGAAAAAAAAACCAAAGATGGCGCCTGGAATGAAGGCCTGGATTTGACCTTGAAGAGAAAACCCATCCAGCGTGTCCCTTAACCCATGGGTGGTATAACATCAGACTCTACAGCTGGAGAAAGGGTAGGGCAGAAGCTCCAAGCTTCTCTTGGAGGCATCGTCAGGAAGAGAAAGGGTAGACTTAATTTTCTGGCTGACTTGGTTTTCCGCGGTCAAGGGATGGGGCTTGAACAGAGAAGGTGTCAGTCAGGCTGAAATAATAATATAGCTCAAGCTTATCGTAAAAACATAGGGCGGGGGGTTGAAGGCCTTGCTTCTTGAGAAGTTCCAATGTGTGTTCACCTCTTTTGGTGTAGGGTTTCCTGCTTGAGCAGGGGTGCTGGACTAGAACAGGGGTCTTCCAACTTGGCCCTTTTATGACTTGTGGACTTCAACTCCCAGAATTCCTCAGCCAGGAATTCTGGGAGTTGAAGTCCACAAGTCATAAAAGGGCCAAGTTGGAAGACCCCTGGAGTAGAAGATCTCCAAGGGCCCAGCTCTTGTGATTCTGTTGTTTTAATTGAGGAAGCACCATTGGAAATTACTTAAATCGCGTTCGGCTGAAAGGGGGCTGCGTTGGGGGGGGGGTGTCTTTTGGAAATTAACCGTTGAAGAAGCTATGGCTTATTTCCGCAGAGAAATTCAGTATTAAGTTCAGGATTGGGGTGTCAACCGTCTTGTTCTGTTGGTGCTTTTGTATACCAAAGAAAATATTAGCCAAGAATGTCAGCGATGAGATTTTAGAAAATGGAAGTGTAAGGAAGTGATAAGAATCTACTGCTCCCCTTCCCGATCCCCAATTATTTAATATATCAAACCTGCTTCAAACTCATATATGGTCATAACAGTATCCATAAGCTAAGCTGAGATAACCTAAGTTGCCGTTTAAATTGCCAAACATGGGTGTTTTTTTTCGTGTGTCATTGTCATCTGTATCATTTTTTAAAAAATTTTAACTTTTATTATTTCCCTACTGGTCTGTATCTTCAGCTTTTTTTAAAAAAAATTCTCCCAGAGGGCTTATTTCAGGGGTCTTCAAACGTGGCCGTTTTATGACTTGTGGACTTCAACTCCCAGAATTCCTCAGCCAGGCACGCGTGCCTGGCTGAGGAATTCTGGGAGTTGAAGTCCACAAGTCATAAAACGGCCACGTTTGAAGACCCCTGGTTTATTTGAATCACTTTTTTAGATGTGCATGTTTACTATTATTTTATCACTGGCATTTTCAAACAGGCAGCTGTCAGATGTCATTGGCCTGCTGACGAAGGAGTAGGAGAAAGGTAGTCCTTGACTTACGACCACAATTCAGCCCAAACTTTCTGTCGCTAAGCGAGACATTTGTGAACCTTCCTTTCCACAGTTATTAAGTGAATCACTGCAGCTGTTAAATTAGGAACACGGTCGCTAAATGAAACTGGCTAGCCCACTGACTTTGCCTGCCAGAAGGTCACAAAATGGGATCACACGATCCCAGAAAATTGCAACCGTCATAAATATGAGTCAGTTGTCAAACATCTGAATTTTGATCACATTATCTTGGGAATGCTGCAACGGTCCTAAGTGTGAAAAACGGTCATAAGTCCCATTTTTCAGGGCCGTTGTAACTTCAAACGGTCACTAAACAAAGTGTTGTAAGTCAAGGACTATTTGTATTCTGTTTTACCCTTGTAGGAGTTTATTTCAGACGTTTAAAAAGCTGCTCAACCCCTCAAGGCTTTTTTTAAAGGTATGTCCAGATCTCTATAATTCAGGAACACTTTCCCTGATAAACGATGACTGGAAACGACTGGAACTTTTCCAAAAACAGAAGAGGCTTTGAATTAAATGAAACAATCTGCTGTTGCTTTTAGCCGGGCGCTGTTACAAGAAAGCACGTTTTTTTGAGGCTTAAACTAGAAGCGGTGCTGATAGGTTTAAACTTGAATCTGATGATAAAGAAAAGGAAAAAAAAAAACCTCAGTTATGAAGAGCAGCAGGACAGAATCTTTCAAAATCTGTTGCTCTTCTCTGCTTTATAATTTCCTTTTCCTTATTACTCTGCCGTGAAGTTGCTGGTAAACTTAGCTAGAATTTTTCTCTCTATATAGCATCCAGCTAGTTGTGAATGCTCCAACAATCGAAGTTTTTAAGAAGAGACTGGATAACCATTTGTCTGAAATGGTATAGAGTTTCCTGTCTGATCAGGGGGTTGGACTAGACGACCTTCAAGGTCCCTCCTAGCTATTCTATTCTATTCTATTCTATTCTATTCTATTCTATTCTATTCTATTTTTCTATTCCATTCCATTCCATTCCATATTCTATTCTATTCTATATTTCTATTCCATTCCATTCCATATTCTATTCTATTCTATTCTATTCTATTCTATTATGCCTCTGTGTGAGAAATTGTGCGTTGTGCGGATCAGGCCACTGTCTAGAAAAGTTGATCTGTATGGGAAGTCAAAATATTGACTTCAAAGTGAAGTCTTTTAGTTGTACTTGATGAGCAACTAGCTTAACAAAAGCCCTGAATTTTCCTAGAGTGGTTTGGGAAACATGCCACGGTTATATCAAAAGTAGTCAGAAGCTGAAGTGGTGACTCACTATTTTTTTTTCAAGGAGGAGAAAAATGAATTACAGTATTCATAATATCTTAAAATATGTCCCAGGCTGAATAGGCCTTAATAAAAGTAGAGAATAAGTCAATAAAGATATATTCTTCACCAGTTTGCAAGTAACCTGGGAAGCTCAATCCAGGTTAAAGACTGATAAGCCATGTTTAGACAGTGCATTTTCTTCATGAAATGGTCCTGCAGTCTTCCTAACTGCCTTTTTTCTTTCAAGGAGCAGGTCTCGTTCATCTGTGTTCGGTTTTTAAACCACTGTCCTTCTCATTGCATCCGAAGTTGGTTCAGACTGTGGTTTGTTAACAAGCTAGGATCCTAGAGCAAGAGAATGGCGTGGAGAGTCCACTCAATCAGTACTTCTCAACCTTAGTCCCTTTAGGTTGTGTGGACATCAACCCCCAGAATTAGTGCAGTGGACAAAGGTCAGTATCTCTCCTTCCTCCAGTCTAGCTGAGATTTGGGGTTATAACGTGGGCACAGTTGGTTTGTTAGTGTCTGTTAGTGAAACAAAACTTCCTTAGTTAAAGGCAGACCCAACCTGGAAGTAAGGAGAAACTTCCTAACAGAACGATTAACCAGTGGTACAGCTTGCGTCCTGGAGCTTTGGGTGCTCCATCGCTGGAGGTTTTCAAGAAAAGACTGTCCAGGATGATATAAGATCTCCTGCCCATGGGCCGAGGGTTGGACTAGAAGACCTCTAAGGTCCCTCCCAGCCCTGTGAGCCTACGATTCTCCAGAAACACCCTGATTGAAATCTGCACTTCAGAGCAGAATGGTTTTTATCATTAAGCTCTTCCCCTTGAAAAAATAAAACCAGAATCCATTTTTCCCTCCGCCGTGATTTTCCCAGCAGGGAGGACCTCCGTGGCAGAGGTCCCCAACCTTTTGGGCACCAGGGACCGGTTCCGTGGAGAAAGGACCAGGGGGTTGGGGACCCCTGCTCTATAGGACTGGGATTTTTTAAAAAAAAAAAATAAATAAATTCAGAAGGATCCTTCCAGGGCCACTGAAACCAAATGACAAGCTACAATCTGTGTGTCTGAACCCCTTTCCTTTTAGACTTAGACGTTTCCCTGTGGTGGAGGGGGAAAAAAAAATTAGCCATGCCCATTGTTTCTTGAACCTACAAGAAACTACAGAATGGACCAGAAACCTCGTAATACAAGGAGAAAAGGTTGCACTTGTGTTTCCCTGCTCAGTAATCAGCTTGACATGCAGCATTTTGCATAACTGTGCAAGCCCCATTTTTAGAAACAAGGGGAGGGGTGGTGGTGGCAATTTTAAGCAAATCCACCCTCCGACAGTGCTAAGGGAGGGCGAGGGAGCAACGAGAAAGCGTTTAGGAATTTTTTTAGTGCCTGGAGGAAGAAAGGCAGGGAAAGCTGCAGAATGCCTGCAAGAAAACAACCAAAATCAGAGAGCACCAAGGATCCCAGAGTCCTTCCTTCCTTCCTTCCTGTTCTGGAGGGCAAAGTTCTGGAAGGTGGCTAGCAGACACACACATACAGAGAGAGAGTCCTGATCTCTTTCTGTACTAGTACTTCCAAGATCACGTGAAGTATTAGTACCGCTTTACAAAGCCTTAGTAAGACCACACCGAGAATACTGCAACCAGTTTGGCTCACCATAGTATGGAAAAGATGTGGAGACTCTGGGAAAGAGTGCAGAGAAGAACGACAAAGATGATAAAGGAATTGGAGGCTAAATCGTGAAGAACGGACGGTGGCAGGAACTGGGTATGTTTAGTCTACCGAAAAGAAGGACTAGGGGTGACACGATAGCAGTGTTCCAATATTTGAGGGGCTGCCACAAAGAAGAGAGGGTTAACTTGAAGGCCGGACGAGAAGCAATGGATGGAAACTAATGAAGGAGAGAAGCAACCTAGAATTAAAGAGAAACTTCCTAACAGCGAGAACAACTAAATCAGTGGAACGACTCGCCTCCAGAAGTTGTGTGTGTTTCAACACTGGAGGTTTTAAAGAAGAGATTGGACAACCGTTCGTCTGAAATGGTCGAGGATCTCCTGCTTGAGCAGAGGGCTGGACTACAAGACCTCAAAAGGTCCTTGCCAAGTCTTGTTATTCTCTAAAGAGTAAAAGAAAGGATCCGGATTGATTTGGGGTGGGGTGCTTAGTTGCTGGATTTTCCCGGCATCGTTTCTCCTCCTTGGCAGGTAACCGTCTGCCTTGTACACCTGCTGCTATAGTGAAACGTTCCCCAGGTTGCTGGGAACTTGACAGACCTTGGACAGGATGA